AGTGAGGTGAGGCAGCTACTTATTTGAGAAATGCTTATTTTATTTACCTTATAAGCTGAGGCAACTTATTTTATTTGAGGAATACCCAGCTGATTCCTCTACATTTAGCATGGAACAAATTTGTGTCCAAGACCTCTTCCTGTTACTCAATTTGGCTCTGCGTAACCAAACTAGAAGTGCTCTACAAATCAAGGGACCCAGAATGTGGAATGACCTCCCGAATCATGTCAAAGGCTGTACCTCTCTCAACCAGTTTAAGAGTTAAACCAAGTACTGCCTAATTAACTCCATGTAACCTAACTTACCTCCTAAATGTCAACCCATGTCTTGCTATTTTTTAAACAACGCTGTTCACCAACATGTGCAATGGCTGATTTCTGGGGGGAGCTCCGTCGGCTCCCCGGAGCTTTGCCGGCTGATATGCTAATGTCAGACTTTGGCATCAGTCATGTGTATGGAGTTCTAGGGCCTACCGGGGACCACGGCCAGAACTTGGCCCCCTCAGAGAGGCAAGGGGAGCAATGGCCTATAGAAACCCCCGTGTGGTTGGAAGCATTCTATGTCTGCCATCGACCGGGTCAAGCATCCAGAAAGGTAAGCATTCCAAAACAAACCCCTATTCTGGTGAAAATTGCTACCTAAGCCGAACTAGTGGATAGAACTCTTCAACAGAAAACAAGGAAACTAGTATGACGTCATACGTCACCACGGCGCTGTCTGCGCAGCTCCCCCCTCCCCGGGAGGGGGAAGGGGGAGCCCCAGACCTCCCACGCCGGCTATCCACCCATCAGTTCTTCGGCTGATGCTATAGGCACCGGTTATGTGCTCCGGCTCCAGTGGTTGTTTCAGCACTGTACCTAGAGTGTGGTGTCTGTTTTCTAGGTGGTGCGTGAGCCGGGAGTGATTCTCCAGTACTCGGGCTGCATGCTCCTAGGGTTCCCTTCCCTAGGTGCCCTGTAAGTACTGCCCTTGGGGCTTGGGGTCACCTTCCACAAGTTCCTTGGGTCCTGCCCCTGCTTGGCCGTTTACTGCTTGGTTTTCGGCCGCTCTTTGTGTGCTCGGGTGTTCTGTCTCCCTTGTTCGCCTTAGAGTAAGGGGCAGTGTTTGCACTGGTGGGGCGCGGGGTACTGTGCAGCTTGTCTTTACCAATCATAGCGGCCGGCTCTGTTCTGTTTGGGTACGCTGTCCTCTTGCGGGGTTTTCTTTTTCTTTTTGTTTATCTACCTGGTGGAGGGGTCTGCCTTCGTTCTTGCCCCTTGTGTCCCTTGTGTTCTGAGTATTTTCTGGTGGTACCCCTGCTAGGTCCCCGTGAGTGTACACGTCCCGGGGGTTCAGCTCTTAAAAAGTTGTTTGGTAGCTTTGGGTGCCGGTTAGCAGTACCCTGCCTGGGATTACCGATGATTGATTGATGAAGATTAAGCCACCCAAAAGGTGGCACGGGCATGAATAGCCCGTAAGTGGTGGCCCTTTTAAGCCATTACCAGTATCAAGAGCTGATACTGGAGATCTGTGGAGGTGCGAATGCACCCTGCATGACGGGAGATGTCTCCCTTGTGAATGTGTTAAGATGAAGATGAAGCCACCCAAAAGGTGGCACGGGCATGAATAGCTCGTAAGTGGTGGCCCTTTTGAGCCATCACCAGATGATACTGGAGATCTGTGGAGGTGCGACTGCACCCAGTGTGACGGGAGATGTCTCCCGGACCAAATGGTGACCAGATGGTGCTGGGATTACCTGAGCGCGAGTCCTCTTATAGTAAACGCTCGGGACCCTGGGAAACCCCTGGGGGCGCGCGGGTCCGATGGATGTGACCCCAGAGTCCCCCCCCCCCTCACTTCCAGCGAGTTTGAGGGTTGCTCTCACCCTTTGTCTCTGGGTGACTCTCTGTTTTGCCTCCGTCTGCTGCCTGTGGGGTCGGTGACACCTTCGACCTGGAGTCCTGCGAGTTTGGTTGCTCGTTGTGGCTCGGTTACCCAGTTGTGCTGACAAAGCGGGTGCGGGCAGCAGAGGCGTTGCACTTGAGCCTTGGTGGTGGCAACGTTCTCGTGGTAGTGTAAGAAGACTCAAGTCGTGTCCGTTTTGCTTTTTTTCACCCCAGTGACTCTTGCACAGGCATCGCTAATGGTCAATGACGTCACCAGCTAGCCGCTCAGCGTTCCTGCACAGGCACGATCAAGGGGATTAAAAAGCCGGTCTATGAGTCGTGTGTTTTTCGTTACAACAACAGTGACCCTGAAACCTAATATAAAATACCATCATCCCTAGACTGTTTTAAATTTCATATTTACTTCCAGTACACCATCGGCCATTGCTTGTATCAAAAGGGGGAGCATCACAGAGCAAGAAGTATCATGTATCTCAGCATTCGCCCCTTGTTACCTAACCAGTATTTACCAGGACTTTTCCCTAAATCTTAAACTTATCCAATTTATGCCCATTGTTTCATGTTCTGTCTCGTATTGATACGTTTAATGGCTTATTAATATCCCTCCTTTATCATGTCCATTCAGTCACAGCTCTAACATGTCACCTCTATTTCTTCGCCTTGCTAGAGAATGTAATGCAAGCTTTGACAATTTTTCTTCGGAGAATGCTTATTGAGCATAGGGCAAAAATAAAAATGAAAACCCACTATCATCTATTTGTATGAAAACAGTCCCCTGCCAGGCATGGTGACTTCAATGCAATTTTAGTACTAATCCAATATTGCTGCATAAACGCATAAATGTATATGCACGGGCATAAATATACATGCGCATCTCACATTCGCTCAAAAAACATGCCTCCCACACCACGAGCAGTCGCTAAAGGCAAAGGACTCAACATAACTTTAAACTGGATCCCATCCCATATTGGAATCCCATTAAATGAAAAAGCTGATGAAATTGCTAAATTGGCAACTCGTCATCCAGTGATACATAAAACAATTCAACCCAGCCTAGAGAACATAAAAAACATCATCACCAAGAAACTCTCACATCTCAACAAAGCCGACCTGCACCAGAGAATAGCTGAAGGTTCGCCATCTGCAACATGGTATCTTCAGGCAACCAAATTAGAAAGGTTAAATATCCCCAAAGGAATCCACAGGGAAATAGCAGTTAGGTTATATAGACTACGTCTAGGTTACAGATGCAACTGGGAGATTGGTGAACCCCGACAGAGAGAGTGCATCTTCTGCCAAACTGTCACAGAAAAGCCATTACTTCACTATCTTCTGGAATGTGAAGCAACCAATGACCTTAGAAGAGCTTTAAGAGTTCCTGAATCATGCAGTGGCCACCCTGAAGCCATCAACACAGCCACTCTCCTGGTCAACAAAGGTGTCCAGCAGCTGGACACCCTCATAAAGACTGTGAAGCAGTATCCTCCCCCACGATAACAGCTTGATGGTTAAATGCAACTTCAGAATACTGAGAAAAAAAAAAATTGTACCACTTACGGGCTATTCATGCCCGTGCCACCTCTTGGGTGGCTTAATCATTATCAATCAATCAATCAGCCTGGTGTCCAGACAGCCTCATTTACGCCGTGCAGCTGGGTTTAGCACTGGCTCTGTCTTTCCAACTTCAACGTTTCCTCTCACCAGGCTATTCTTCAACTATACCCACTTCAAAGCTCACCCAAATGAGTACCTTGACCTATATTTAGTTCGTCCGTTCGTTCGAAGTAGCCTGGATATTGAAGCTCGCCGGCTGATTGGTTGTTGGGTTGGCAGTTACTGTTTTCTTGATTTCATCCAGTCGTACTTGGCAGTCCATGGAGACGGCGGTGTGAGCTCCTCCACAATTGAGGCACAATTTGTTGGTTGACTGGCAGGATTTGAAGTGATGATCATGGGTGCAGATGCTGCATTTAGCCTCTGCTTGTGGGCAGTTCTTGGTAACATGGTCGTATTTGTAACACTTAAAGCATTGGGGTACGATGTAGTAACGCTCCTTCTTGACAGGTGTAATAGAAATATCCAGGCATCTGAATCCATTTTCCACAGCCTGGGTCGCTGCAGCAGCTGTTGTGAAGGTCACCTTGAGAGTAAGTCTTGGACCGTCGTTGTTCTTGATGACTTTGACTTTAGCTGCAGTCAGGGCCGGGTTCCTGGAGATGATGCTATCCAGTTTGGCGTCAGGGTCCTGGGTGGCATTGTAGACACTCGTGTGGCTGACGAAGATGGTTAGATGGTTAGCGTCGGGAAGGAGTGATGATCAGATTGGAGTTTCGTAGGGCATCCTGGTGTTCTGGTGTAAACAGTTGCTCCAGAGCTTGCTCGGTTGAATAGAGAAGTACAGCGCCATCTGCATCGTCACGGATGTCCAATAGAGCTGCATTCGTGATGTCTACGATTTTCCGTAGTAATTGGGGCCCGGTGTAGCTGGTTTCGTCACGAAACCGGACCTTGATGCGGTAGATCATGATGATGGTGAATCTCTCAATGACTACCGCATCACTGGAGATTGCCTACCGTCTCTTTTCGGTATATAGTACCAAGGTGGAAGTCGGGTGTGACAATCTAGAATGAAGCAAGCCTTCTGCTCAGTTTTTACCCACCCGGCAGTGCTAGGTGCATGAGATCTATATGCCGTTTATGTTTATCTTTATGCTTTATGCCCGTGCTAGTGGCTTTACAAGAATGTAAAACTTCAAGTCTCTGTATTCTAATAAACCCAATGTACCTTCTTGTATATAAATAACTAAATAAATCTATGAATCCAACATTATGTTTGTAACTCATCTTCTATGTATGTACTTTTACCTGAAGAAACATTGAAATTTGAATTTTGAATATGAGTGTGGCAATAATGAAGGGAAATTCACCTTATTCAGGGTTCCTGTCCGCTACCGCCTGTGAGAAATAACTTTGTACCTTGTAATTCATTTTGTAAAATAGTTTCAAATATATAAGGGGTAGTAAAACGCTATGAGAGCACAAGTAGGAACCCGACAAGGCTTCCCCAGGACGCTACTATTTCTTATTTAAAGCACTTTGCATAATTTAACGTTGCAGGGTGTCCGAGCGCGGAGCATGCAAACTTCCCTGCTTTAATAAAAAATTATGTGTCGGGTATGTCTTGATGGCCATACCCCGAGGAACCGAAGTCCCAAGTGCCACTTAGTACGGCAGACACCCTTTTATACAAAGAATGATATTAACTTTTCACGGTATAGCTAAAGCAATCTAAATATATAATAATAACTGTATATTTTTATATTAATTTACTTTAAATACAATTATAATTACATTTATTTTAAAACAACAAATTATATATATATATTATAAAATAAACTGAATTCAAAATAGTTATCAATAATTATTAATAATGAATCTGCTTACAAAATATAACTTTAAACTGGTTGATCATACGTCTTGTGCGCACACAAATAACAATGGTATACTATGCCATTTGGATATGCATACCTGTGTTTTGCCTCAGGGCCACTAACACTAGTGGCCTAGAAGCCGAAAGAAGGTGGTTTTACTACTAGGAAGAAGGAAGCCGCCGGCTTGTCATAGGTCCCCCCATTTGTCCTGATGTTTTTTTTTTTCAGGCTAAATTTTTAAAGTTCCGCAGAGTTTCGGCATTTACAGCTTGGGTGGGTAGGCACTTCCAATGGTTTATTTATTATTTATTTATTTATTAATATATATGTACAAGAAGGTACATCGGGTTTGTGAGGATACATAGCATGGTGTTAACAATCTTGTAAAGCCACTGGTACGCGCAGCGTTTCGGGCAGGTCCTTAATCTAACATATCCGAATCTAGTCTCCTTGGTGTAGCGGTAAGACACTCGCCTGGCGTTCCGCGAGCGCTATGTCATGGGTTCGTATCCTGGCCGGGGAGGATTTACTGGGCGCAAATCCTTAACTGTAGCCTCTGTTTAACTCAACAGTAAAATGTGTACTTGGATGAAAAAACGATTCTTCGCAGCAGGGGATCGTATTCCAGGGACCTGCCCGAAACGCTACGCGTACTAGTGGCTGTACGAGAATGTAACAACTCTTGTATATATCTCAAAAAAAAAAATAAGAAGGTAAATTCTAGCAAAATTTAAGTGTTAACAGGTAAATTGCAAACAAAAAAATGAGATGAGAGAGATTAGTAGGTATATTAGAACATATCGATAGCTCTGGTTGATTGCATTGACAGCTTGATTGGTAATTTAACAAAGATTAATAAGCACAATACAGCATATTGATAGCACATATAAGAGGACAGCAATGATCACAATGGTAAAGTTGTTTGGATTAGGCATATAAAGATTGGAGGATTGGATAGCACTAGAACAGTGCAATTTTAAAGCATAAGGTAGGACACTATGAAGATTAAATTAGGTACTTTTTTTGAATAAGGCAAAAGTTGGACAGGTTTTCGATTCATTAGGGCGTGAGTTCCATAGACTGGGTCCCTATATTTGCATAGAGTGTTTACACAGATTAAGTTTGACTCTGGGGATATCAAAGAGATATTTATTTCTGGTGTGGTGATAATGGGTCCTATTACATCTGTCCAGGGAGAGTTTCAGAGCATGGCTTGCATTTAAGAGCAGGGTTTTGTAAATGTAGTTGACACAAGAGAATGTGTGGAGTGACATTATGTTTAGGGAGTTAAACAAGGGGGCTGAGTGTTCTCTGAAAGCAGAGTTTGTTATTATTCTGATAGCAGAGTTTTGCTGGGTGATGATTGACTTGAGGTGGTTTGCAGTGGTTGAACCCCATGCACAGATACCATAATTAAGATAGGGATAAATTAGTGCATGATATAGAGAGATGAGAGCAGAGTTAGGTACATAATATCTGATTTTGGAGAGTATATCAACTGTTTTAGAGACTTTCTTAGTTATGTGTTGTATGGGGGAGCTGATGTTAATTAAGTCTATTGTCTAGGAATATGCCAAGAAACTTTCCATCATTTTTATTACTGATGTTAACATTGTCTATCTGAAGCTGAATTGCATTTGTTGATTTGCTTCCAAATTAGATGTAGTAGGTCTTTTCTATGTTAAGTGTTAGTTTGTTGGTTGACATCCATACCTTGAGGTTACCTTGAGGTGCTTCCGGGGCTTAGCGTCCCCGCGGCCCGGTCGTCAACCAGGCCTCCTGGTTGCTGGACTGATCAACCAGGCTGTTGGACGCGGCTGCTCGCAGCCTGACGTATGAGTCACAGCCTGGTTGATCAGGTATCCTTTGGAGGTACTTATCCAGTTCTCTCTTGAACACTGTGAGGGGATTGTCAGTTATGCCCCTTATGTGTAGCGGAAGCGTGTTGAACAGTCTCGGGCCTCTGATGTTGATAGAGTTCTCTCTCAGAGTACCTGTTGCACCTCCGCTTTTCAACGGGGGTATTCTGCACATCCTGCCATTTCTTCTGGTTTCATGTGATGTTATTTCTGTGTGCAGGTTTGGGACCAGCCCCTCTAATATTTTCCACGTGTAAATTATTATGTATCTCTCCCGCCTGCGCTCATGGGAGTACAGATTTAGGCTCTTTAGTCGGTCCCAATAGTTTAGATGTTTTACTGAGTGGATTCTAGCAGTAAAGGATCTCAGCACGCTCTCTAGGTCAGCAATTTCTCCAGCTTTGAAAGGGGCTGTCATTGTGCAGCAGTACTCCACTCTAGAGAGCACAAGCGTTTTGAAAAGTATCATCATCGGTATAGCATCTCTAGTGTGAGTTCTTGTTATCCAACCTGTCATTTTTCTTGCAGTTGTGACGGCTACTTTATTGTGTTCTTTAAAGGTAAGGTCATCCGACATGAGTACACCCAGATCCTTTACATTGCCTTTTCGTTCTATGTTATGATTTGCCTGAGTTTTGTACGTGGTTTCCGTTTTTATATTTTCATTTTTTCCATAGCGCATGAGCTGAAACTTATCTTCGTTAAACACCACATTATTTTCTGTAGCCCATAGAAAGACCTGATCTACATCTGACTGGAGGTTCGCCGTGTCCTCTATGTTGCCAACTCTCATGAAGATCCTAGTGTCATCTGCAAAGGATGATACAGTGCTATAGGTTGTGTTCTTGTCTATGTCCGATATGAGGATGAGAAAAAGTACTGGAGCAAGCACAGTACCCTGGGGGACTGAGCTCTTCACGGTTGATGGGCTGGATTTTATTTTGTTGACTATTACACATTGGGTTCTGTTGGTCAGAAAATTGTAGATCCATCTACCTATTTTTCCGGTAATTCCTTTTGAACGCATTTTATGTGCAATAACAGCATGGTCACATTTATCAAACGCTTTTGCGAAATCTGTGTAAATTACATCAGCGTTTTGTTTGTCTTCCATAGCATCTAATGCCATATCATAGTGGTCCAGCAACTGTGACAGGCAAGAGCGCCCTGTTCTGAAACCATGTTGTCCGGGGTTATGGAGATGCTGTGATTCCATGTATTTTGCGATTTTACTTCTTAGCACTCTCTCAAAAATTTTTATGATGTGCGATGTTAGTGCTATCGGTCTGTATTTTTTTGCCTCTGCCTTATTTCCTCCTTTATGGAGTGGTGCTATCTCTGCTGTTTTTAGTATGTCAGGGATAACGCCAGTATCTAGGCTTTGTCTCCACAGAATGTGGAGGGCCTGCGATAGTGGTTTTTTACAGATCTTGATGAATATGGAGTTCCAAGAATCCGGGCCTGGTGCAGAGTGCATAGGCATACTGCTTATGGCTTCTTCAAAATCCAGTGGGGAGAGGGTGACGTCTGATATATGATTTGATGTTGGTATCATATCCACGGGAGACATCTCCCGTCACGCAGGATGCAGTCGCACCTCCACAGATCTCCAGTATCATCTATTGATTCTGGAAATGGCTCGAAAGGGCCACCACTTATGGGCTATTCATGCCCATGCCACCTTTTGGGTGGCTTAATCTTCATCAATCAATCAATCAATCGGTATCATATCCATGAAAAATTCATTTGGGTTATCAATCTTTAGTGCGTTTAATGGCTCGCTGAAAACAGAGTCGTACTGCTTCCTCAGTAACTCGCTCATTTCTTTGTTGTCATCGGTGAGTCCATAAGTGGACTTTTTTTAATTCGTTATTCACCACATTATTTAATGCGTGTGGGTTGGGGTCTGAGTAGATGAGGGTAGTATCATCAGCAACAACATAGGTTTAAAAATGTTACAGACATTAGGTAGGTCATTGATGTATATAAGAAATAGGAGAGGTCCCAAGATACTGCCCTGTGGCACTCCAACGGTTATTGGTAGAGTGGGAGAGGTTATATCATTGATGGCTACATATTGGTGTCTATCACTATGATAGGATTGGATATAGTCCAGTGCATGGCCTCGGATTCCATAATGATGGAGTTTAATTAAGAGGTAGTTATGATTAACAGTATCAAAGGCATTGACTCAGGTCAATGAAGAGTTTATAATTCAGTGTGTCCGGGGACAAGCAGCCAGAGTATATTTATACATATTAAGCTTATATCGAGGTCCCAGCTCCCCAGGTCGAATTACTAACCCTGTCCAGAATGCAACCCCACAACAAGCGAACTCCAGGAGTGCCTACCTACTGCTACGCAATACTACTACTAATAATAATATTTTATTTACAAGAAGGTACAATGGCTTTGTGAGATTACAGTAGAGTGATATTTTTACATTCTTGCAAAGCCACTAACACGCATAGCGTTTCGGGGAAGTCCTGGGTTATAAACCCACGGAACCGCCTACCCTCTAAAGTCGTAAATACTAAAACTGTGTTAAGCTATAAAATCCACCTGGAGAGGATCATCAAGGCAAATGGGGGGACCTTTGACAAGCCCCCGGCTTCATGTCCTAGTCGACGCCACTAGTGTTAGTGACCCACAGGTAAAATCAGGTAAAATAGTTTCAAGCTCAGCAAGTCACAGTGTTGGAGTGAAAACAGGAGATGCGTTTACAGCCAGCAGGTTAGGGGTCCCAGTAGTACAGTCGGATTCGTTCTCGACTCATAATCGAGAATTCCGGATTCAAATCTTAGTCGGGCAGAAATGATTGAGCGCATTTCCTATTACCTAATGCTTCTGTTCACCTGTTATATAAATAATCCAATAACTTAAAACCAAAGATGGGAACATTAATGAAATACCATCCAGTTCACAAAGGAGGCGAGACAGCTAATAAACAATTAC